CGACCATTGGACGAGGGTAAGCCAGTGATAAAGTCCATTGAGATTTCCTCTCGGAGGGGAAGAGGATAAAGCAACCTGCTAGCTTCAAAGAAGAATACTTCATTTGTTGACAGACTTGGCATTCCTGAACAAATTTCTTGACATCTACGCATGCCTTGCCAATAACAATTGGATGATAATCTATGGAAGGTGCGAACAATCCCTGAATGGCCTTCGATTTTTGAAGCATGAAATTCATGAAGCAACAGATGGCGAATATCCTGGTTCGATGGAATTACCAACCTATTGCGATAGAATAAGAGTCCCTCGTGGAAGGAGAATTAGGGTCATTCTCAGGTTGACGCCGAAACTCCAATAATGTAGGATCAGACATGTTCAAAGTTTGCAACCTATCCAGCAAGGCAAATTCAGTGAATGCAATGGAGAGAAATTGAAAAGTAGGGATGCGGGAAAAGGCATCAGCCGCAGAATTGAGTTTTCCAGGTTTATAACTAATATCAAAGTCATAGCCAATGATTTTGCAAAGCCATTGTTGTTGTTCAGGGGTCTGGATTACTTGATGTTTGAGGGACTTAACAGGTTGATCCGTCAAGATTAAGAATTTGCGACCCAAAAAAAGATTAAGAATTTGCGACCCAAAAGATATTGACGCCATTTTTGTATAGCCTGAGTGATTGCGAACATTTCACGATGATAGGTGGACGCCGCTTGCATGCGAGGAGAGAGTTTCTGGCTAAAAAATGCAACTGGACGATGATCTTGAGACAACACTGCTCCTATGCCGGTACTGGAAGCATTAGTTTCCACCGAAAAAAACTTTTGAAAGTTCGGCAAACATAACACTGGAAGTAATAAACATAATAGGTATTAGTTTGGTAATAGTTGGAGCAACAAACTCGGATTCTACAAGAATATCATTTTTTGGTACTACGAAGAGAGAATTCTCACAAAAATTGGATAGGGGTCAAGGCGTTGTCGGGAGCCAGCCTGACTCAAATGCCCCCGAACCACGCGAAATGGTAGTTTATTACACGGCTCACTGACTCTACTTGGGGTGTGAGTATGGTATGAACTAATATTACTCTGAACCAAAGGATTACAGATTCAATGGATCTACTGCTGATTTGAGTATTAGCAGCAACAATGAAAGAAGAAGAAAAAAACTAGCAGAAGGAGGGAGGTTCCCGAACTAACAAAACCTATAGTAAAGATAAAAGACAAGACTCATTTTGCATAATCCCTACATACTAGTCTCCTGCTCATTTATATAGTAGACTCCTCCTTATGTGCCCTTCTCTAGTATTGCCTCATCTCTAACGGAATATGCATTATTGTCCTTGGTAGGGACCACAAAGTTGTCCAGGTATTTTGGTGGACGCACTACCTTGTTGATGTGCCTCTGCCCCGTCTGTCCTTCAGTGTGATTCATTACACTGGATTAATTGTTCGTCGGCGGTCCCGCGCATCCCTACTATACAAAGCAGCCGTCCCAACTCACTTAAGGATGATATTTACTTGCTAAAACTTCTAAAGAGGCACAGTCCTCAAGTAATAATATCTAAACAAATTCACCCATACATAGTTAAACACTCTTTCAACATGAAAATGAATGACCAAGAAAATGTCATAACTTGAATTACCTTGACTATCAAAACATGTACATACAAGCACCAACAGCAAAAACGAGTTATTATCGGGGACAGCTGCAATTGCTCTTACCAGAAAAAAAGAAAGGTAAGTCTTACAGTTGCTAAAAGTGAACCCACTAATACTGACGAAAAGGGGCGGATTTAGGGGGGGCGGAAGGGTGTTCACCCGAACCCCCTTCGCCAAAAAATTACATTATATATGTAAGGCAAAATCTATTTTTTACCTCTATATATTATGTTTTGAATCCCCTTGACACAACCCAAAAGTAAAACTTAGTGGTCAACGGGATTCAAAAACTTTATGAGGTCATTGGTTCTATTCCCACTAGCTACAAACTTTTTAACTTTTTTCCTTTGTTGACCCCCTTGACGGTAATCCTGCCTCCGCCACTGCTGACGAACATTATTGCACAACAAATATGGCTAATTTCTCTACCATGTCTCACTTAACAAAAGTTTTAACATATCCTGCCACAAATCCTTAAAAATACGATAGCACTTAAGCCCAACTCACAACTCTAATCAGCAAACATTAAATTAATTGATTCAGAGTATTAATTATCAATCCAGCTAGGATGTTGTTCCACTAAAACTACTAGGGAAGAATAGGCAGTGCATTAATTCTAGCAATTAGTATATAAGATTAGACAAAGAATAATAGGGAAACGAGTAGGGGGTTTAACCACTTAAACTTAAAAAAGAGAGTGCCACATCATACAAAAGCAAATACTAAGTAAGTAACTTTGGAGAGATCAAGCTTTCCGTAAAAGCAAATCCCTTCTGACCACGAGCTCGAGGCCATAATACAGATGGTTCTCTGGATGTCCTAAATACATTAGTCCCACCTTGAAAGTGTATGCACCAGAATAACAACTCACCATCTACAAACCTATACTTCGGAACAACTACATAAATCTCGGAATCTCTTATAGTAAATAATGCATTCCAAGATTCCTTGACGTGATAGTCTTTCTTTACCCATAACTTAAAAGTGCCCTCCTCCCGATGAGACTCATAAGTAGAATAAGCACAAAGCATTCCTTCCAATACTGAAACGCCAACATTGATGTCGCTCAGCAAGCATATTTCCTCAGGTAATGGTATTTCTCCATACACTTCATTTGAAATACCAAATGAAACCACAAAATAATTTCCTTGTGTTTTTCCAATCCAATGAAATGCCTGGTGTACAAATGCTAAAGAATGCATACCAGACAACACATTGTGACTGCCACAAGGATGTTTATCAATTTCTCTCCGGAGACCACTTTTCAGCGCGAGAATTTCACTAGGCCATTGGAAACCATCATTATATATGATATCGTGAATAATAAGGATCTTATAGTCGCCACTAGTTGAGTCATAACCAGTGTTTAGAAAAGCGATCGCTTCGTCGCTTTAAGCGCGAAGCGACGCGACGCGACTTAGTGTCGCTTCTAGCTGCCTGAGGCGACTCGACCGAGGGAAGCGCACGCTTCAACGGAGGAAGCGACGAAGCGATCGCTTTCGTTAAAAAAGCGCAGAGGGCCCTTTTTTTTTTAAAAAAAACTTTGGGTTTGTTTTTCTATTATACAAAACAGACCCTAAATTGACAAAAATTGGCCATTTCTTCTTCTCTCTTCTTCGATCGAGGTCGACCAAAGCTTAGGGTTCAACTTCATTGACATTGCTGACCAGTCCAGGTAATTTTCTTCTTCTCTTATTTTTCTTTCTTCTTTCTTTCTTCTTCTTGGTCCCGTCAGATTCTGCTTTTTTTTCTTTCTTTTTCCTTCTTTCTTCCTTCTTCTTCTTCGTTTATCTCTGAGACTCTGACAGTCCAGTTTGCACTGTTCAGACTTCAGCGTCTTCTTCTTCCTTTTATCTCTAACCCATTTTGTTTTTTCCCCCCTTTTATTCTTCTTATTTATTACTTTTAATGTGTATTTTAGTTTATAAAATTAATTATTATTTATATATGTTATATTTTTCAGTTTATTTGATTTTTTTAATGTATATTTCAGCATATAAAATTAATTATTATTTATATATGTTATATTTTTCAGTTTATTTGATTAATTTTATATGTATTTCATTTTAGAAAATTAATTATTATATATATGTGTTATATTTTAGTTTATTTGATTTTTTAATGTATATTTCAGTATATAAAGTTAATTATTATTTATATATGTTATATTTTTCAGTTTATTTGATTAATTTTATATGTATTTCACTTTAGAAAAT